GCTGTTCATCCAATTTTGTTGCAGAGGTTTCACTACATGAACCAGTGGTGTATAAGGCAATTGTATACGGGACCTCAGCCTTTTTGTACATAAACAGTTCACCATTAAAGCGTTCGACAGCAATGTTGCTGAACCATAAATCCCAGAATGGGTTAAGACTTATGCATCAAACTAATAAAAGATCGGCAAAATTTGATGGTTTCCATACAACCTAAATAAGAAATCCTTGGCTACTGACGTGTAAGCTGGAGAAAAGAAGCTCTGCTTCTATTTACATTGCTGATACTTATTTTTTTCAAGTCCATCATGCTCTGTGTTTTTACAACTTCAAAGATATAAGTGTTAAGTGACGTATATGAGCATGCCCCAAGACTTAACCATCATTTGAAAAGAATTTTCTTCGTTTAATATGGAATGAAAAAGGTTGGCCAGACGACTTATTGGAATCACAAATTCGAAATTCCTAAAATCTCTGTGTTGATGGATGGAAGTGGGAGAAAAAGGTGAAAATTGTCAAGATTTTCCATTGGTTTAACATATTGCTAGTTTCTTCGAATTGAGTAACAAAGACGTTACTCTTGTTAATGTATGATTTTTAAAAAAGTGACTTACTCATGCTCTACTAAATGATGTGGGTCATCGTTCATACGTCGAAGATGCATAAACCTTCTAAGAGAGTCCGATTTGTTATACGGAGATTTTGGGCCATATACAATATTCAACTGTTCTGTATTAAGGAAAGCATATCCATATTTCTCTAGATCATCCTTCTGCAATTAATAATTCTAACTTTCAATCACTCAAAGCTCTGTCTTTCTTCGTTAACCTGATCAGGAGTGTAACTTCTGCTCAGTGCCTCAAACGTTTCCACCTTCCGTTTTTCTGTATCACCAAGAATTTCGCTGGTATTTTCCTTTGTAAAATAAAGGGGTACACCATCCTTATCGAGTAGATCTCGTTTACTTATTTCTGCCTGCACTTTCTCGGCCTTATCTACAGCATCAGTGACTCCTGAAAAGATATATTTTGACATTACTTTTTGTTTTTAAATCTCTTTCAAGAGCATATCAAATTTTGAGGATTTGATTCGTTAATCATCTGCTTTTTAAATACAATTGACTGCTTCAGTACTCGTATTATTCTTTGCACGGATCAAAGCAAAACTAACGCTCTTGCTAATTTCCGTCTTATTACAAAAATCATTTATAGGAATTTCAACGTGATAATTTGAAAAATGGATTCGTGGATTTCTTTTTTCCTTGCACATCTGTGATTTAAATGCCTAGTTGACATTTTTAATTTTTGATCCAAGTAGAAGCCAAATGCGAGGAGAATTGCGAGTACGCTTCTAATGCTATTGATATTCC